TGAAGTTCGGTAATAACGAATTTTTTAAAGAAACAAAACGCATCAAATTAATTTTGTGTGAAAACAACGGGTATCCAGCTAAATTCGATCGATAATTATATTATAAACCGTAAAATAATGCACTTTAAACTGACTTGCAACAAAAGTGATCTCAAAGGAACTAAACGCAATACCAACGTAGTATATAAATGTTTTAATTATCTTAATACTTTATTAAGTAACTCTTACAATAAAAATTCGCTAGACTGAGTTTTTAAATTATCATGCACCTGCGGGAAATGTAGAAGAAATAGAGAATGCTGTCACTCACAGAACAAAGTTCCACCTGCAAAGATGGAGACTATGGATGAATGCGGAAGAGCGTCAGCGACAAATGCAAACGAAACATCCGAAAAGAAAACAAAGCCTCGCTCCAAGTGCAGAAAGAACCATGCGAAAAGAACCCTGAGAATATGTAGCACGCAACACGGGAAAACTATAGCCCCTTCCCCACATAATAGTCAAAGTGCATCGGCATCATCAAAGAAAGACACGGCCGAACAGAGGCGTCAAGGAGGCATTAATCATTAACTCCTGCGACAACGTAAACGTGAAAGATAATACTGTCTCTGAGCAGAATGGATGAGCTTCGTTGTCATTCCGTCAAGAAACCACTTAACCAGCAGCACGGACCAGCTTGTCTTTTGACTCTAAACGTAAGGCCAGCTGCGAATGACGAAAGTGACGTCATAAGCCAACTACCTCTCTACCTCGAAGAAGGCCGGTGAAAAATGAGCCGAAACGTCAGTACAGGTCAATCATCCGATTGACCAAATTGTTTGCGATGTGTATAAATAAACATTTTATGCCGTTTTCAATCTATGGTTGTATAGCTAACAAAACAACCCTTCGCCAGCATCCAAATCCATACCACGAACTCGCAGCTCAAAAGCCTTGTAATCCAAACGGGGGGGGGGGGCAACTAAACTAAGTTTCAGCTGTATTACTGGCAATTTACCATCATGA